TCGTGGCAATTTACTTTGCGAAAAATGTTTTTTAAATAGCTTGTAATATTTTAAGATGTAAGGGAGCGTCCGAGAGAAGCAATTAAAACTCGTTTTATATCTTTTCGACGCGCTACACGGCCGGCGTAAACAAAAAAATAAAAAAGAAGAAACGTTTATAAATAATTAGCGTTAGAGGAAAAGCATAGATATCCAACTTTTGTCAAGAATTTATATATCGTTCATTTAGGCTACAATTAAATCGACTCGCAATCTCCGAGTGTCTCGTAATTAATGGCATTTGCACCCTATTCTACGCTACGATCTCTTCTCTCTTTAATTATCCTAATTAATGAGTTATCCGGCTCCCCCGTAGGAATATCAGTGCGATATTCCGACACGCAAGATAGAGCGTCGTCTACATCCCTACCGCTTAGTCCTTAGAAGTTAGCGTCCCTCCGTTACCGCGACGATGAGGCTTCATCGTTACATCCTTCTCGTGTAATTTCATCCTGTGCGGAACTTGCTCGGAAGCATTTCCTTTCACTTCGAACGAAAGAAATAACCTCTTTACCGCGCGTTACCGTAGGTACTTCAGATTTTCGCGTCGGGCCCGTCAAGCACGCGTTTGATCCTCTTGAATCGGGCCAGGGCGTTGCCGGAATCGCTCTGCAAGCCACCGAAGGCTTCCTTGTATTCTCTGGCCAAACGAGGACTCAATTCCTGCGAGCTGCCCATGAAAGATACCAAGGGATCTGCGCGGCCAGCAGGACTCTGCTCTTCCTCGTTAGCGTCGTCTTCGTTAGCAAGAGGCGCCTGCAATTGTTTCGCGATTACTCATCGCGCGTTTGTAACTATACAAATATATAGAATGTAAGATTTTCTGCAAAATAAAAGTCTAGTCGAGATGCAATTTGAACCGTCGCTGAAAACAGATCGCATATTGATTACACATCGGAAAGAATTAATGAATCTCTCATCTTTTTATAACCATTCGATATGAATAAATTATTATCAATGTTATATTTCACAGAGAGACCCCCTATGCCTTCTCTGTTTGAGGGAGAAAGAGTCACGCTATTTGATAATAAAAGGTTCCTAATCTGTCGTAGAGTCGTATTTTTTTCGTATGAAAATAAAACATTCTATCTGACTCGTCGAGACGTGATACTTGAGCAGTGAATATCCGTCCAACTTATCGTTGATTTGTATTACGATCTTGCTTTTCCGTTGAAGACGGTGGCGACTCTTAGCGGGGATTTTAAAACTATTTTTTTCCCTCAAATAATTATCGTCAAGTAGATATGAGTCTCGGCTAAGTGGGTTCAAATCTCCGCTAGACGATTCGTCATGTTTGTTTATTCTAAAGTCTCCGCTACGAGGCGCTACTGTATTTAGCGGCGAATCGAGACCGTAGGTTGAAATTTCGACAAGGACGTGCGGGATAATATTTAGGTCATTTAGGTCATAACAATATCGCTGTGATAATAACAATAGTAATAATAATACTGATGATAATGATGTCGACGGTTTGGCCAACATTGGACAACGGTTAGCCGACTAATTTGTCTATCTACAACTCCGACGCCTCGCGCGAAGACAGACGGACGCCAGAGTTAGTCCGCGATTTCCATTCAATCTCACCTTTCCATCGAAGTTCGCGCGAAGATGAGAATTGGAGTCCCGATCCGCGGATATTTCATTTCCCGATTTCCCGTTAATCGGTTCAGACGGCGACGAGTAACTCCTCGAGCGTCTCTTCTTCGCCCGAAGATGATCGTTCTTCACCAGTATCGTTTCCCTGGCGCGTTCGCGTTTCTTCTTGAAGAATCCCTTCGACGGACCGGAGGACCCGTCGCGATCTCCTACGGACCGTCTCTTCGGGTTTCCAGACGACGAGCGTTTTTTCGAGCCACTGTCCGACTTGCCGGTCTCGTCGGATCGACGTTGCGGCTTTTCGCGCTCTTCTCTCTTCGGAGGTCGCTTCTTGCCGGCGCTCTTCGCGGCCGGGCCGACACCGCGTGTCGACCTCTTCTTAATTACATTCCGACGTAATTTCTCGACCGAGCCGTCCTCGAAGGCCCGACTCTCGTCGTCCCACAGCTCGTCGAACCTGGCGTTGTTCTCCCGGATATCCTGGACTCGCCGTTGCGCCTCGACATCGCGCCGGATCTCCTCCTTGAGCGAGTCGATCTTCCGTTGTATCCGCTCTTCCGCGCGCTTCTCGTACTCGGCGTTCGAATCCTCGGCCGAGACGCTTCTTGAAACCGCCTCGTTCGACGTGGATCCTCCTGCGAGCTTCTCGGACGCACCGGGAAGCTCGTCGAGTCCTCTCGACAACTCGACGTCGGAGATTTCGCGCGGCTCGACCTCCGCGATCTTCGACTCCTCCGGGCTTCCCGGCTCAAGCCGCAGCTCCGAAGCGCTCCCGTCGCTCCTCGTTTCTTCGGGATTGCTCGAGCCGCTCGCACTCGACTTGACGTCGTCGGCGAGCGATTCCGGGGCCGCTCGGTTCCTCTTCACCCTCGCGTCGCCGCGCGTCTCCCTCTTCCCGGCTTCGTCCGATTCTTCCTCCCGCATCGCAGCCACGTCTTCCGACGTTCCTGGCGAGTCCTCTTCCACTTCCTCGTAATCCTCCGCGCCGCGCTTCGCGACGTCCTTCGCCTCGTAGTCGTCGTACAGGCTCGACCCTTCGTCCCGGTCCGTGTATTTGAGATTCGCCTCGCGAGGCAGACGCAGGACGAGGTCGCTCGTCCCCTCGTCCTCGTCGCCCTCCCGTCTCCTCGTCATCTCGTCGTCCGCTTCCTCCTCCGCGTAATCCTCCGCTTTCCCGTTCGAAGCGCGCGAATCGACGTCGGCCGCGCTGTCGTCGATCGACGACTTCCCGACGTTTGATCGTTGGAAATCCGCGAGATTCGACGAGCTTTCCGCGCGTTTCTGCCTGACACGCGTGTCGCTCCCTTCAAGCTCGCCGTCATTCTTCTCGCGTCGCAAGCTCACTTCTTGGACTTCCTTCATGTCGTACTTGGCGTCTTCCTCTCTCGGCTCGGATGCGGCAGCACGAACGGACATCTCCTCTTGCGTCCTGGAAATACAAAATTTCTTACCCAGTAAATATCAAGCAACACTAGCATTATATCAATGTTATGATTTCACGCATTGTAAAGAATTTGGCGTTAAATCTAACACGTTTCACATATCAGTCGCAAACGGTCCACTAAAATTATCGCGTTAATTGAATACAAAATTAATACAAAGTTAATCGATACTAAAGTATAAAATGTGTTATTTTAATGCTTACATATGTTGAATACGACGCAAGATGTTGAGGTAAACAACAACATAAGCGAAATATGTTAAATTCACGTACGGATATGTTGAAAATGTAACACAAAAATTTCAACAGGGACCGATTTTAACGCAAGTACAAATTACTTTTTATTGTACACGACGTGTCTTGCGAGAACGGATGGGTGATGTGAAATGTTTCATGAGAATCACATGTACTGTCACAGTACCTGCGGGTATCGTTGCTGATTTTCGCGTGGCAAATCGGCGTTAGTGACATCTCGAGCAACAATATTAGGGTGAAGATGCATGTGTAGTCGTCCGAGCGATTTCTCATACTGTTGCAGGCATGAGAGCTCTTACAGCGCGCTGCGAAGAGTGGACTGCGTTATCGTTGGATCACATTAAGGTGGGATCGATTGGACGGTGAAATTTCATGTTTTTCTCGCGAGCTGTCAATTCTCAAGCTAGCGTAAAAACAGCGCGTTTGGGACGACAGGTTATCGTATCGAAGAGCGATCGTACTTACGATTATGCTAACTTCTTATGTTATATGGGCCGGCCAAAAAACACAAACCTTCGGTAGTTTGCATGAGACGCGATAAAACTGAAGTTGTATGTGACTAAAAAATTTGAAAGGAACTTTGTAACTAATTACATTAACGTGGACTCGCGCTACGCGCGCCATTTAGCTGATTATTATTATATACGGGAAAAATTTCAGTTAATGTAAATAAATATATACGTAGTTTTCTTCTTTGTCTTCTTTAACACGCAAACTGTCAAAATTCACGTAATCATTAGACAACCATAAACGACACGTTTGAAGCAAGCCGCGACGTGGCAGCACGAACCAATCGGCATTGCAGAAAAGAAGCTTCAACATTACACAAAGACCTATTTCGTGTTCTTGTTTGGTTCTTTTGTGTACATAGGATATGGTTTTTATCATCGTAAGGTTTCGTTAGGATATTATATTTATATAATATATAGTATTCATATTTAGATCATATATTTAAGATCGTTTTAAGTCCATCTTCAAATGTTGTACGGTTCATTTCACTGATTACAAAGTATCTGAGGATGAACTTCAAACAGTTTTAGATATAAAATTTGATATTATAAAAATCGATTAAAATAATATATAATAATATCTGATTATGTGTGGTAAATTTTTTCTCCAAAGTAAGAATAAGTTACTTACTATTACATACAAAATATTTATTTAAATTTTGCTTTCTCAAAGAAGAATAAGAGACATTCAAAAATAGCATTACAAATCTTACTACAATATAATTGTATTATTAATTATACGTAAACAATATGAATAATCTTCTTAATTTTCTTAATCTTCATAAGCATTATCTTATCCTAAAAATAATTCCACAGATTTTTAAAATGTTTTCCTATTTCTTTATTTTATACTATGCATGTGGCTAATTTGTAGTGGTGGATCATAATCTCACAGATATTTCCGGTTTATATATGTATTAACTAATTCTAAATACACTAATGTTTTTTTATAACTTAAATTAAAAAAGACATTGATTCGATCTCTATCGTCAAACTCTCCAAAATTAGCTAAATATAATTCGAAGTAAGATGATATTTTTATAACAAAATGATGAATTTCAGTTAATTCTACCTCATTTAATATATTTTCCTTAATATTTAGTATATTTTCAATCTTTATATTTAACAGAGTGGAATAAACAACTGCCAGTTCAAACCATATAAAACTGCAATCGTATATTATATCATTTGCATCTAATGTCTTTAAAAAATCTTCTAATATATCTACTCGCCGTTTTTGTAGTTTTATCTGCTTGATTTTATCGTGTTCATAAGATGCTAAATATTCGTATGCCTTTGAAGTATAGTGCGCAATTTCTGCACGAAATTGTACAGATCCCGAAGCAAGTATATCTTTCTTTACATCAGCGAGCAATTCAAGAATACGAACAAAGAGTATTTTAGCATCGTTGCAATTTGAAATATAATTATTTTGACGTATATAAGAGAACTTTTCAAATTTTTCCTCTGTCTCTATAAACATGAGTAATTTTGAAGATTCTTTGTTAGGTTGCGTTAGGAATTCTGATTTCGATTTATTTTCTTCATAGAAAAAATCGTTTCTTTGTATCAATCGTTCCCTTGAAAAACGTAAAATGACAAGTCCGTATTTTACCCAAAGCATCTCAATAACAGAACTAACGGCTCTAAAATAGTCATATCGCCGATTCTTCACCTCCGTGGATATTTCCGCATTACTTTCCATACATACTTCATCGTGATACTTCATTACCATAACAGACACAGCGCAAAGATGATTTTTAAATTCAATAAAACGATTGCAGGATAAAAAATATTCTGCTAAATGCATTGTTTCGAAAGCCCATTCAATATAATTTAAAGATAACGGTACCGTTTTCAATAGCTTTTTCATTAAGTTATGCATATGTGTCGCCATTTTTCCAAAATCTATAAATTTATACTCGAGATCGTCGCTTAACATTAATAATCGACGTAAATTATACATATATAATGTGTTCAATTCGTTCACCGTATTTATCTCATCGAAAATGCCCACAGAAACTAGAATATTGATGGGAGCAGGAAACTCATCTTCGCCTTTTGTATATATGAAATATGCCTCCAAAATCTTATTTGCATATTGTTGATATTTTTTGGGCATTCTTAGGGCCTTATAAATAGTACTCAATTCCAAAAAATTAGCCATTGTTATAAGAATGGTTTTTCTATCCAGTTCTTTGCCCTTTAATAATGTTATGCTTCGTTTAATATGCAATTCATTTATAATGGCTTGTTGCAGCGATTTATCTAATCCTCTACTTATATGAGCTATTCTAGTAAAACATAATGCAAGAAATATAATGTCGTCCAAATTGGGATTTTTCAGATTGGTTAATCCATAGAAAAGTTGATCTAGATTGTGTTTTGTCGGTACAAGGTCTCTCATCTCAAATGGAATTGAGCCGTAGTTGTTGATACGAAAATTATATAACAGTTTCAAATGTATAAGGATTTCCTTGGTAAGGTACATATCATCATCATCATTCTCTTGGTTTCCAATCGATTCCACTTTTGTGACGGATGCTAAATAAATAAACACAATTAGGGGGACACGATTACAAAATCTTCGAATGTAATATATTTTTGCTTTACCTGAATCAGCAGGCTCTAATTCCTCTGCTTCCATTGCGCTTTCGGTAGACATCTTTAGACAAATAAGCCTTGAATAGACAATATCGATTGGTCTCCTGCTTCTTCTTATTGTTATTATCTAGATACGTTAGTAAGATGCCAACCTTGTACACAAGCTAGATATCGATAAGGTTTCCCTGTTCTAATTCATGACGTCATTTAATTATATCCGATGTACATTTCTCGCTGGGTCGAAATAATATCAACATTACTATTAATGACAACAGTATCGTGAGATATATTATATAAAACAAAGAGATATAGAGCAGGATTTGGATAAAGTCGTAAGATTTCAATTCGTAGATATTCTATTAGAATATCCCGGACACCATAACACTTGTAAGATATTTGTTGGATCGCATTTGGAAGTCTGGGATAATTCGGGATATCCTCAGGATAAAAGCGTGCTGTGTGGAGTAAAGGAGATCGAAGGTCACTTTCGGCAATCGTCAATTCTCGCGCGATAGTATGTACATTTTCCCTGAGTAAATGTGTGGTGGACGACCTCGTTATCAGTACAACCTTGTATCTCTCTCGTTTCTTTAATGTCCATGTAATGCTCCGCCGTCATTTCGCTTTCCATCTTCGTGTGAGATACATGTGCTGCACGTTCTTTTGATCTCTCTGCGGTGTAGGTGCTCTGTGCGACATCTCCATCCGTAAGTAAAAAAAAGCCATTGACGAATTCGATTGTATTAGTGCGTTAGCAAAGCCCGTTCGAGCGCGGAAAAGCGATATGTGCCTCGACCGATGGACACGCGAGGTTCACGTTCTGTTAACTTTAGAAGTACTGTGCCGGATCATTTCCGTTTCGATTTTCGTTTCTATTTTTAAAAATACCAATACCCTATTTATATAATATATATAAGATTATATATATATATATATATATATAATCATTATGTATATATAATCATTATATATATAATCTTATATATATATATATATATATATATATAATCATTATATATATATATATATATAATCTTATATATAAGATATCTTTTATATATATTATATAAGATTATATATATAATGATTATATATACATAATGATTATATATATATATATATATAATCTTATATATATTATCTTTATTATTATATATATATATATATAATCTTATATTTAATCAAATATCCAATAAAATTAATACTATATTTCTCTTGTGATAGGAGTCTGAAATTTTACGATTTTTCTCCGTAATTCGCAATTTTAAATCAATTGTTTAGACAATCATAATCATTTAGACCCCGATTAAAAGTCGCTATTATTAACAAATATAGCATATTATCGATTGATGTATGACTTACTATTATTTAGGGACGTTATAAATATATATTTATTCACCACTTTATGAAAGAAAATGAAGAGAAACCAAGCGAATATTTAAGAAACGGAACTTGTGTTCATGATTGTTTATATAAAAAGTTAAGGTCACAGTTCCGGATTAAACGATTTAGAATAATCTTCGATACGCGATATTGGTAAACGTCAAACAAATTCGTCAAATTTCCCTTCTGTCAAGTTGAACATTGTCAGAACGTTGTGTTATTGCATTTGTGCTCGTTTCGCAATTCGGTTCATGAGACCTTTATCTCGTCTGGGCAAATTTAATCAGGCACATGTTATTTGTACATATATAATGCATGTGTTCGAGACGTACATATGCGCATTATTGTACTTCCTGCTCCGCTTAATACTTAATTATATCGAATATAAGATACTCGGAAAATAACGCTAAATTTTTTTAAGAAAAAGTAAAAACTCACGAATACGCTTTCGCAAATTATTGATTAGAACGTCGTGCGAAAGAAAGAATGAGTGTGGGGCTTTCGATCGAACTTATTGCACCTTTCACGAGCATAGCCGGTATGGGCGAAGTCGTAAATAATCAGAGCAGGTTGTAACTTGGCCGCGATTTCGATAGGAAAAGTTACATAGATTCCGCGATATCGCGGTTCGGCATGTGCGCTAACGTATATAATAATGTGCAACTTAAAGAGAGAGAGAGAGAGAGAGAGATTAGCAATTGTGATATATATAACGCAATCATAAGGAAAAATACTAACGACATGACTCGTTAATTATTATTACATTAATATTATATTCAAGACACTATCACTGTTACGGACTGACAATAAAATTACGATTAACTGAGTGACTTCTTCAACATATTAAACTGCAAGTAAGTGAAGAAACAAGCAAAGAGATAAGTTTCATCGTCTGCGACCAGTATGAAGAAATACGTTCGATAATCCTTATCTTAACTTAGTTAAAACTTATCTCTAAATATATTTACAAATCAATTCACATATATTTATAAAACGACATTACAGAGCAATTAAAACTCGTCTAAATTTCAATTAAATTTGATTTTGGTCTTCGATGAGAATGAAATCAACGCATAATAATCAATACTCACTTTTGATTTGCTGTTTGAACCGAGAAAAGATAAAATTAAACAAGTTCGTATGTAAACATCGAATAAGTAAACATCGTCCGAGATATCCGTTTAACTAGGCGTGAAAATCGAGCGATAACACTCCATAACTGCGAAATAGATCGTCAATAACTCTCGTCGAAGGGGTTAATGAGAATTCCTCGTATTCTGCGGACCTTAGACGATCATGAGAATCGCCGTGATCGGCGCAGGATTTGCCGGACTGGCCGCTCTCCAACAATGCACTTCCGATACTTACAATGATCAAGTGGTATGTTACGAGAAAACAGACCAAATCGGTGGCACTTGGGTCTACCGGGAGGAAACTGGTTCCGATAGATACGGCTTGCCGATTCACACTAGCATGTACAAAAGCCTCAGGTACGTCGCATTTCATTGCACGGTAACTTTCGTCTTTGCGATGGTTCACACGGAAAAAGTGAAAGAGAGAGAAAAGGAGAAAATGTAATTAATGATATATTTGTAGAAACTAATATTAAAATTTTAAGAAATTGAAAAGAAGCATATGTAAAAGTTAATGTCCAATCCACTTTTCGTATCCACACATATTACAGTAGTATATGAAATGTTACTTTTAGACCAAGGCAATTGGATACATGAAAAGTCGCCGGGAAACCATCAAAATCGGGGTAAAAATGCTTCAAAAATTGCAAAGAAAACCACTATCAGAGTTAGTTGTTGTATTACCCGAATTCCTAAAAATCATAGACCACTCAATTTTGAGCACTTAAAACCACACAAAAGGACTTCAAATTACTACAAAACCAACCCTTTTTCTCCCCTTTATTAATTCTGTCGTTCGCTACGCTGTTAGGGCTAACTTGCCGAAGGAAGTGATGGGTCATCCAGAATATCAGATACCTCAGAGGCCTCAGAGTTACTTAACGCGCAAGGAGATACTGGATTTCCTGCACGAGTTCTGCGATCATTTTGCGCTACGTCCTTACATACGTGTGAGTGCATAAAACTGCAGCATTATATAAAATCAAACGAGTAAAAAAGTCTATATATCTCTATTAAAAACAGCATCTTCATTTAATTTATTCATTTAACGTTATTTATTTAACTCTAGTCACATTCTTTATTAAAACTTGTCGAATCCAAAATTAAATATTTAAAATATTAAATTGATAACGGTTAATTTTTTCAAGTATCAGGAATAAATTTGTCAGGTCGAACGATTATAAATACCTGACGTTGCAGCTGCTGCACCATGTGGAGCTGATAGAGCCGGCCGTGGGGGACCGAAAATGGACGGTCAAAGTCAAAGATCTGCAGAGGGACACAGTCATAACCGAGTCGTTCGATGCAGTGATGGTGTGCAACGGTCATTATTTCGAGCCCAATAAACCGAAGATACCCGGCCAGGGCCTCTTCGTAGGCCAGCAGATTCACAGTCACGATTACAGGATTCCCGAGATCTTCGATAACAAGAACGTCGTCGTCCTGGGAGCAGGACCTTCCGGTACATACAATATTATACACGGCCCGTTCGCGTTTATTCTTCGGGGAAAAATGTTTAAACCAAATTTCTCTCAGGTGCTTGTTTTCGGTCACCGACTGGAGAAAATTATCAATAGAATATTTCATCTCGATAATTTCAAATTTAATAAATTAAATAAAAAATCTCTATTCTCGTTGTTCGCGTTCGAAAGCTACGAAAAAATTCTCCGACAAAGCCCGGGAGACGATTAAAACGCTACACTTTTCCCTTTGTTGTTGCCGGCAGGCATGGATCTGGCTTTGGAAATATCCAAGTGCGCGAATCGCGTGATTCTGAGTCATCACTTGAAGGAGAATATATTCACCGTGTTCCCCAAGAACATCGTACAGGTGAGTAAAAACGAGTCCAGGAAGAAAATAGTAAAATCACGCGGAGATTACTTCTTATACTTGCGGCGGTTTCTTTCTAGAAAAGCGACGTGGTGGAACTGACGGAGCGCGAGGCGGTTTTTGCGGACGGCACGAAGGAGCAGGTCGATGTCGTCTTCTATTGCACAGGTAGAGTCCTTTTCATTACAGGAATCGTTAAAAGACCACGGACGTTTACGCGAGTATATATTTCGAAAGGAAACAGAAAAATGTATCTCAAGCAAATGACACTTTATCAAAATACAAATGTGTATAAAATATATCATTTAAAATAAATATACTATAAGTTAAAATTAAATACAAATAGAAGTATTAAAAGAAAAATAAACTATACATTTATTTCGTTCTTCTTTCTACTTTTTCATCTGTTTTCTTTCGAAATCTAAATCTGCATGAACATCCATAATCTGATCATTATTACAGAATTTTACCTCATTATCGGTGCAAGATAAAGATCACAATAATCCGCTTTTCGAATTTTTTTTTCTGAAAAGTATACCTCATTATCAGTGTAATTTTTTTCTGAAAAGGATACAAGTACAGCTTTCCTTTCCTCGCTGAAACCTGCGGGATTCGAGTGGACTCCAACATGGTCACACCTCTCTGGAAACATCTGGTGTCCATAGAGAACCCTACCCTGGCATTGGTGGGCCTTCCGTTCTACGTCGCTGCTTTCAACATGTTCGACTTACAAGTACCAGATATCTTTGTCCTCCGTTTCGTTCGTTCCTGATCTTCGTCGTCATAACAGATTTCCCATTACAATCGAGCACATCCCTTTCGAGACTGAAATATCGCGAAAATATCTCGCCTACCTGGTGTCCTAACATCATCGTATTGCTTGCGAATTTCTTCAAGGTGCGATTCATCCTACGACACTGGCACGGCGAGAGACAGTTCCCTGCGAAAGCGGATATGCTGCGCGATGAGGCCGAGGAGTTGGCGGGACGCGCGGAGAAAGGCCTGCAGAAGAAGCATTTTCATATGATGGGTCCGGAACAAGACCGGTATTACGACGATCTGGCGAATGTCGCGGGGATCAAGCCCCTGCCGCCCGTGCTGACGAAACTGCACAATGAGAGCAGCCAGCGCTTCCTAAATGACCTGGTGCACTACCGAGAGGATCGCTACTACATCATCGACGACTACAATTACACCATGCTTTAACGCTCGAATCGCGTCGACGGCATACTTTCCCGTGCATACCTTCTTTGGTGATTGTCTGTGTCGCCAAGTTGAGAGAGGAAAGGATTCGACCAGCGATAAGAGGAACGTAAATCCCCCATCCCCCTCTCAATTAACCCTTTCGGTACATTTGACGAGTGAGACTCGTCATCTGCTTACTTGGGCATAAAATGTATTACTTTTACATATTAATCCATATAGCGACAAATTAAATTCGTCCCATGGGCATAAAAATCTTAAAATAATTCAGTACTCAAAGGGTTAATGCACGTATGATAATAATATACGAATTTGAAGGAGAGATGATTCGCACTGAACTGAATTAATTAGTTTTCATTATTATTGCATGAAGAAATGTATCGATCAATCCTGTTTTTAGCTCCCAAATCTAGCGTTCCACGTGCATATGAGAGAAATGAGCATCACTAGGTAAGCGCGTTCTCTGTGTAAATCTCACGACTAAACGCGTCTCAAAACATTCAAGCTTCGTGTGTTTCTTCAAATAATTCTGATCCTAATTACGCGATACAGAGTACGTTCGGGGAACGCACTGTCAGCGCTAAGTCTGTGTCTACAATAGATTCCTACTAAAAAATTTCTATCGAGATCACAAATGAAAATTGCATGGAGAACACAAGCGGGAACCTCATTGAGAAGTCATGTGAGATTTCCGCAAAATTTCGCATGTGAGATCTCCATTGAGATCTCAATTAACATATATAAGAAATGAATAAATTGAGTTTTGAATTGTGAAATCATTCCAAATACAAAGTTAATGATAACATTGTCATACTGTTCTGTTCATCTTTTTCTTTAAACATATTATATAGCAATCACAATCTTGATATTATAACATTAATCTTAATGTTATGTAATTTATTCTCCATTCTTTGGGACCTTGTAGCTAAGTGTATATATGCAACATAATTATTGTAATTAATAACGGAAATAAAACTATGTAAATATTTGCAGGAAGCAATTTATTAGTAGAACAATAAATTTGGCACAGTAGCAATATTATCTCCTACACTTATGTAAATACAAATTTTGTCAATGTTCTCCGTTGTATATACTTACACAGCACGCAATAAAAGATATCTAATAGTAATTATTGCAAAACATTTAATTATGCAGCAGCATCTTCAATAAAAAGTTGTCGACCATATCCAATGAATGCCACGTGGTCCAGTCATGTTCCAGGATCTTCTAATAATATGTGATAATGTATGGGAAATTTTTTCAACAGACAAGAATAAGTTACTACACATAAAATATTTATTTTTCAACAGACAAGAATAAGTTACTACACATAAAATATTTATTTAAATTTTGCTTTCTCAAAGAAAAATAGGAGACATTTAAATGTACCATTAAATAATATATCTTATTACGATAAAATTATATTATTCTTAATTATATGAACACGATATGAAGCAATTCTCTTACATAAACATTATCTTATCTTAAAAATGGTTTTATAGACTTTTAAAATTCCACGTGTCCCTACCTTTTTTATTTTACATTATACATGCAGCTGATTTATGATAGTGGATCACAGTCTGACTTATATTTCTCGTTTATATATGTATTCATTAATTTTATATACGTTGCTGTTTTATTATATCTTAAATTAAAACGGTACATGATTTGATTATTGTCAATTTTTCCACTCTTATTTACATATAACTCGAAATAATGTGCACTGTTTTTAATAAATAGATTAATATCAGCTAATTCTTTCTCAGTTAGTATATTCTTTCCTAGTAGTATATTTTCCTGTACATAATCAATCTTCACATTTAACAGAGTGGAATAAACAACTCCCAGTTCAAACCATATAAAACTGCAATCGTATATTATATCACTTGCATCTAATGTCTTTAAAAAATCTTCTAATATATCTACTCGCCGTTTTTGTAGTTTTATCTGCTTGATTTTATCGTGTTCATAAAATGTTAAATATTTGTACGCTTTTGAAGTATATTGCACAACTTCTGCACGAAATTGTATAGATCCCGAGGCAAATATATCTTTCTTTATATCACCGAGCAATTCGAGAATACGAACAAAGAGTATTTTAGCGTTGTCGGAATTTGAAATATAATTATCTTGACGTATATAAGAGAACTTTTCAAATTTTTCCTCTGTCTCTATAGACATGAGTAATTTTGTAGATTCTTTGTTAAATTGTGTTGGGAATTCTGATTTCGATTTATTTTCTTCGCAGAAAAAATCTTTTTCTTGTGGCAATCGTTTCCTTGATAGATATAAAATGACAAGTCCGTATTTTACCCAAATCATCTCAATAATAGAACTAACGACTCTAAAATAGTCATATTGTTGATTCTTCAGTTTCGTGGATATTTCCGCATTACTTTCCATACATACTTCATCGTGAAATTTCATTATCATAATAGACGCAGCACAAAGATGATTTTTAAATTCAATAAAACGATTGCAGGATAAAAAGTATTCTGCTAAATGTAATGTTTCCAAAGCCCATGTAATATAATTTATATGTAACGGTGCCGTTTTCGCTAGCTTTTTCATTAAGTTATGTATATGTGTTGCCACTTTCTCGAAATCTGCAAATCTATATTTAAGATCGTCGCTTAGTATTAATAATTCACGTAAACTAACCCTATATAATATCTGCAATTCTTTTGCTGTATTTGATTTAACTGAAAAACCCACGGGAATTCGAATATCGATGGGAGCAGGATACTCATCTTCGTTTTTTGTATACATCAAGTATAACTCCAAAATTTTATCTACACATTGTACATATTTCTTAGGTTCCTCTAGGGCTATATGAATAACTGATAATTCTCTCAAGTTAGATATTGCTGTAAGAATGGCTTTGCTATCCAGTTCTTTGCCCTTTAGCAATATCATACTTCGTTTAATATACAATTTATTTATAATAACTTGTTGTTTTGAGTAAAAAAATCGTCTGCTTACGTTAGTCAAGCCGTTAAATGATAATGCAAGAATTATAATGTCGTTTAATTCTGGATTTTTCGAGTTGCTTATTTCATAGAAATGTTCATCCAGACGTTCTTTTAACAGTATAAACTTTTCTCGATTATATAGAATATGTCTACCGTCGGGAGTGGCACGAAGATTATGTATCAAGTAGAAATCGATAAGAAGTTTCTCGGTTAAGGTCATCGTAAATTTAGCATTCTCCTGGTTTTCAGTGGACACCGCTTCTGTGACGGATGCTAAACAAATAAACATGATTAGGACGACATGATTATTAGATAATCCATTTCGAATGTAGCACATTTTTGCTTTACCTAAATCGACAGATTCCAATTCCTGTTCCATCGTGCTTTCGTCGAACATCTTTAGACAAATAAACCTTGAATAATTAATAACGATTGGTTTCCTGTTTCTTCTTCCTATTATTATTATTGGCTAGATATGTTGGCAAGATTCCAATCTTGTACACAAAGTAAATGTCGATGAGGTTTTCCCTTTTATATATATGTATAATGTTGTTTGATACATTTCAATATTTACATAATTCATCCAACAATTCTTCTCCTAGACAACCATGAATCGAAATAAACAACGACTTGTGTCGAAATCGAGATTTCGAGATAGCCATCAACATCGCAGAAAGGAGGCTTCACATTTCGATATTTTTCTAGATATCACACGCAAATATTTTCTTATACAGTCGATGTTATGTATGCTATATAATTCCCTAGATAGAAAATTACGATTTTTAGATTTATACACAGAAAAAATGTAAGATGCGTTTAAGTATAAATAATTACTACAATATACCTTAACAAATTTTTACTTGTATCGAGTATATTCATTTAATCCAAGTGAAATGTTTTCTAAGTGAATTATTCAAATAAAATATATTTACTTGATCCAAGTCGAATTTTCTTAATCTAAGCAAAAGTTTGCTAAGGAGTATTGAAGTAATTATTTACTTGAATTTGGCACTTTTTTCTGTATACGTAATCATAAGATTGAAATTACATAAGTAACTTTAATTATAATAATATATTTTTAACAACTCTTATAACATCTCAACAATTATAACAATTTTGATCTTACGTGTATATATGTAAGACTAATAATGATATAATTTTTAATCTAGGAAATGGTAAACATACATAACGTCAACTGTACGTATGTAACGTTTTGAGAGAAATAGCTTCTCGAATGCGATAATTATGAATGTTAGACGTGGCAAAGCAATTTATGATCAAGTAATAATAATATTCTCTGCCAACACACACACACACACATACACACACACACACACAGTGAACAACGCGATATGTTTCCTTCACAAAAAGATTTTTATTAAAAAACTGGTATTTGGTAAATAAAATTTGTTTCTTCCTCTGCGTACAGGCGCGTATCGTATAATTAGAATAGTAAATACAATTTTACCAAGATAATAAGATATACCTAAATTTATCAAGCATCGCCCAGGCGAGGGCACACATTAATAATACCTTCGAGGGAACGCGCGACGTCCTGGCCGATGATAAGGAATCGCATTATTATCATCGTCGCGGGACGCAGGGTAGAGGAGGGGGATAGGAAAGGTGAAATAATTAATGGGACACAGCGACAGGGGGTGTAAGGGCGTCCTTGTCCTTGTCCCCCCCCCCCGTATGCGCCGCTGTCCTATGGGTTACAATATGTGACAACGTTACAAATTAAAGTTACATCTACGACTATTCTGTAGCAGCAATAGCTGTGCCTCGCAACCATCCTTTCGGGTTTGTTTTAGTGACTCGCGACTTCACGCACCATCAGAGCGTGCGCGCATGTGCGCGCGAAATAATAAAAGTAACCTCTAATCAACTAGATGAACGACGTCTTATACTGAGCTCCGAGCGTTTTCGCTGTAAGACACGAATATCCGCAAACGCTCTTTGCTGTACGGCGAGAGAGAGGAATTCCGCGCTGAAATTCCGCCGAAATTCCGCGAAGTAATGGAAAAGGATCGAGGACGATCTCGAGAATTCTGCAAATGTCGATACTCTTCGATTTCGATTCCGCGGTTCCGGGGTAATAACGATGCTTCTCGACGCGACCTCGCGACCTTTCATTCGTGCCCCTGTCCTTCTCTCTCCTCTCCTCTTCCTCCGTAGATTTCTATTTCGTCTCACGGCAGTGGCGTTTGCTCTCAAATTCAAGAAAGAAGTT